GAAACTGGAAGCCTACCTGAGAAAGATCTGGATAATGCCCATTCTTCTACTCAACCTGCTCAGGAGAGCAAAGAAAACACAAGTGATCTGGACCAAATGGACAACCACATAGAAAGCGACTGTTCAGCAAGACCTGTCAGAGACAGAAAAGCGACTAAAAGACTGACTTATTCTGAGCTAGGAAACCCGTTGGTTACAATAGTTCAGTCTTTATTTCAAACCCTGAGTGATGTGTTTACAGACTCCCTTGAAGAACCTAGCTCTCCAAAAATCCCAAGAGTTATGACAGTATAGATTCAAAATGCACAGGGACGTGCATTAGGTAAGGAGGGGAGGATGTAACCCATGTTAAAATCTGGCATAAATAAGTTTGAAAGACTAAAAGTCTGTTGACAAAAAAATAAATAAATAAAGTCGCTGCCCCTTTAAGGGACCGGCGACACAGACGCAGCTCCTCAGTGACGTTGCAGCACGCAGAGCTGAGGGAGAGAAACCGGAGGAAACGACCGTTGATTAATTAGCAGAAAAAGCAGTGGAAGTTACAGTTGTTTTGTAGTTGAAAAACATAACTTACCTGGTCAGGAACTGACAGAGATTTTATTGGGAGCTAACCACATCGGTTTTGGTCCGGTTTTTTTGCTTGGTTGGAAGCTCGATCGGAGGGAGGATTGGTCTGCCTGTGCGGGCGTGCACATCCACAGACGGGATTCATGATGGCGAGCCAGACCCAGATCTTCAACTGGTCTTCTCCATCGCACCAGTGAAGGATTCTCCTGCGTGTGGTAACTCGCTATCAGAGCGGTAGGAGTATCGGGAACCAATTGAACTGAACTGAACAGAACTGATTGGATTATTATTATTATTTTGTTTGGAATGAACTGAACCGAATTGAAACTTGAACTCACAATTGAACTTGAACTTGAATTTGAGGTGCCATGCTTTTATTTTCATATGTTTCTATTTTTGAATGTGATTTGAATAATTGTGGTCCACTTTATTTTTTTTTGTTACTTACCTTTCTATTGAGAACCTGCAGGGTATTTTTGTTTCATGTACTGTGTTTTATATCTGTGTTTTTTTTTTCTCAGTAAATTGCCAGCCTTTTCTACTTAAGCAACGGTCTCTGGTGTCCTTGTTTTGGTCCCCACTCCTTAGAGACCTAGAACTGGTCCAGTGGCGCAGTTAGTGGTGTGACACCGGTGCTACAATAACCCTGAGGATCTTTGAAGAAATGCTAAATGACTGTCTTACTGCGTCCAGCCTCAGCAGCGATGGGCTGCTGTGAGAGGCTTCGTTCATGCAGCTCAACAATCCCACTGTTAGGATTGTATAGTTTGTGTTGTGCTTTGCTTGTTTCTCTGTCTCGGTGTGTGGTGGGCGTGTCTCCTTTCCCTGCAGGCTGGGCGGAGCCGACCTGAGAGAGACGCTCTGGCGCTGACAGCCGCTGGTCGTACAAATACGGGCAGCTCACAGACCTTCAGCGCCAGATGATTGTGATTCCTCCCCGTGGTACAGTCAGGCCGCTTAGCGGCTACACCTCGTGAAGCATTAAGCTATGTCCACCTTTTTTTGAGTGTCTCAAGTTCATTGTATTTCTCCTCTGTATCTCCAGCGTCTTGTCTCGGCTCCAGCTCCAGCTCTTCTCCCGACACGCCTGCCTCTTCTTCTCCCTCGAGCACACATCACGGGAACCCACGGCCACGAGCACCTTCACCCGACGGATCCCCATTCGAGCACCTCCACTGAGAAGAACTTCACGGGAAAAGGATTCTCACGAGCACCGCTCCCGGAGCACCGCACCTTTACCTACCACCTGGAATCCCCACCACGACACCCTCCACTGGATTCCCTCACCTGGGCACCCTCAATTTCCCCCTCCCTTGTTAATAAATCCTTTCCTTTAACCTTTTTCTCCTGCCTCCCTTTTTCGTTGGGTCCGCCCATACAGATTCTGAGCTCGGGTCATCACACCCACCACGTTCAGAGACGCTGAGCTTTTTGCCTTTGCCATCAAGAGATCTTCACAGAGTGATCACTTGACAGGAAATGACATGGAATCCAAATTTTTGCACAGATGTTGGCTTTTAAGGGCTGTGGTCTTCAGCTGATGAGCAGCCTATTTCAGTTAAATTATTGTTTTCAATAAACTGCCTGCTCACAACTTTTGGTCTCTTGTTCCCGTTTCTTCTTTTTGCATTTTGAAGCTCTACTTAGAACCTTCCTAAGATCCAACAGTGCAAAATGCAAACTCATGCATTTTTTTAAACTGGTCTGAAGATGTGAATCAGGAGTGTATTTTCTGTAACTTTTACCTTTTACTTTCAACTTGACTGTTTACTCTGATTAATTAGTCTTAACTTAAACTCCACCTACAGCAGCACACACAGATCATATACGGACTACGTTTCTCTTCATAGTTATAAAAACAAACCCCGACATGAGTTTACTGAGGTAAAACACTGCATCATCAAAAGTGGAAGTACTTTTTTTTGGCATCTAAAAACAGAAAGTTTTCTGAAATCTGACTAATCTGTCTAATGCGAGTGCCCCAGCACAATCACAGTGATCATCAATACAACTCATAACTGAACACGACACATGTCACATACAACATGTACTTCAGTAGTGATTCATCATATGTGTAATTTCATTTTTAAACTTCTGACCTGTATGATAAAAGTTGCACCTTTTCTTTTCTTTTTAACAATAATTGGCAAACGAGGCGCTACTTCGACCACTTCAGTGTTGTACCCATGTGTGTCGTTTTAGGATAACTTCAACTTCACTTTTTATAAAAAAAATTATTCATCATTTTCAGCTGTTAAATTTGACCCACTTCTAAGAACAGATGGTTGTGAATTAACATTTCCAGCAGAGATAATCCTGCTGTTAGACACACTGATAATCCCTGTGTGGTGAATATACTGTACATCTTAAATGTGGAGACGCAAATATCACAGCTTAAAGACGACATAAATACCAGTATAGCACCACCATTAGCGGTCGGTTTCTGAGGGACGCTGTGCTTGAGGGTGAAAACTATTTTCTCTTGTTGCCTTAACAGTAAAAGACATTTTGATGGCGAAGGAAAACAAGTATTGTTTTACAAGCTGTTTGAACTTTTAACTAAACAAAAGGGGACGATGGAAGACACTTTACTGACCTCAGTTTGGACGAATGAACTGAACAGCATCCAAACATGGTGCCACGTCTTCGTCATGTTTAAACTCAACCATAATGTCTTTAGATGTTGTTGAATGAAAACTAAATCAGCATCACATGACGTATATGTATATGTATATATATATATATATATAGTTGCATTTGCAAAGTTTATTATTATTACATCTTTGTTCTTTATTTTTTATATCATATATATATCTTGCTTGTACTATTCTCTTTTTTTGTGTATTTTTATACTTATGTTTTTACTATCTCTTATATGTACGTTTTACTTCTCTGTGTGTACTGCTGCTGACAACTCTGTGAATTTCTCCACTGTGACATAAATAAAGGCTGATCTGATCTGATCTTAGATGTGAAATAAACTGCGGTGTGGTGGCGAACACGTACAGAGTTGGAGGCCAGAAACGGCAAATTTGTCAAACAAAAGCCCGGCACGTTAAAATGCATTTTCATGTAGACTTGACGTTTTACTGTCAGTTTACCTTTGATTTTGAGTATTTAATGTTCCTTTAAATGTTCCTTTAAACTCCACATACAGCAACAGACAAACAGATGATATATTGATTATATTTCTGTGAATATTTATAATTATTAAAGACAAACCCCCAAAATGTATTTACTGAGGTAAAACACTGTATCATCAGCAAATTAGCGAATGTAGCCATCTGTGATATGGTTATACACCAAAACTAAATCAGCGTCGGGGCTGAAATAGGCGCCAGCGTGGTGTGAGCTACGTACCGAGTTGGTGGCGAGGATGTGGAGATGTGGCTTGTCGGCCTCCAGCAGCAGTCGCAGCGTACTGAGGAAACTTTCCACCAGCAGGTTGATGCTTTGGCAGTGACAAGCCAACAGCAGCTGCTCCAGCGCCTCCATCGCTATGCAAACATATCTAACAAAAGCAAATTCATAAAACTGCTCTCATTGCTGTTAGCCTTTACATATTTCCATTTTCACACTTTTAAAAAACAGCTAAATCAGTTGCTACCCACAGACTTACTGACAGCTATCAGTGGGTTACTGTTGGTTCTGAGGCGAGTTCTGGACGTGTTTATGAAAGTAATGAACATAAATAATATAATAATAAATAAAATGATGTGCAAGTGATAGAATTACATCATACATGCAAGTTACTCAATGACACTGATGTGTTTAATGAAGCTCGGTGGCGCCCCCTGTGGAGGCTTCTGTGTCTGCCTCAGGGTGACGTTAAGGCCTCCTGAATGGGGATTCAGTCTATGTGGTGTATAGTGTGTTGTACAGTGCAGCGTGTTTGTGAGCACTGACCCGTAGCGGTGGCGGTTCAGGTCTCTGGTCAGACGCTCCGACAGGTACGCAGCGATTCGGTCGAGTTTCTCCGGCGCCGACAGAGCGAAGAAGGTCAGCTTCTCCATGTTGGCTTTCACCAGCCCATCCTGATCGCACACCAACACACGTCTCTGAGTTTCTGTCATCTCCACTCAAGCACTAAAGGCTGAGCTGTGTTCCTGACGCTCTGGAGGTCAGGTGAGGCAGCAAAGCTACAGGGTGTTTGTGTTTCCGTTTACCTCGGGGTCTTCTGGGAAGATGTTGTCGACCAGCCGCTTGTATCGAGGCCTCAGCGCCCAGCAGCAGCCGCACAGACCTGAACAAACAGACTTTTAACCAAGTGAAGGCAACTCACCCAAAGTCTGTCTGAAGCCAAGTTCACAAACTCAAAATGCAGCTACAAAAAAGTGGCTGAATAAAAATAGCTTCGATTACTGAGAAAATCTGGAAGTCCATTTCTGCCAAGAATGGAAAAAAAGGGAAAGTCAGCTGTGTTTGCGTTTCCTGTCAGTGGCTAAAGCTGTAATCTGCAGCCTCTGGGGGGCAGTAGAGAGTCCCCAGACCTTTTCATATCTTTTTTAATTTTTCATCTCTGTCCATGTCCGGTGTAATGGGTTTAGGGGATTAACGAGGACGAGAGATTCACCACTGGTCAACGGCCAAACACACACGCTGGTCTGTCGTACTCTGTGGGGACACTAGTGGATGAAGGGGATTAGCAGGTCCTTCGTCCTAATCCCACCTCCAGCTCTGGATCCGACTCAAACCTGAACCCACAAACTGCCCCAAAGCGAGGGCCGGTCACACTGGACAGACGTCCCCGGATGCTCGGTCCCCACAACGATGGCTGAGCCAGAACACACACACAACAATGCAGCAGCAGCGATGCTAATGCTAATGCTAATCCTGCGCGTTTGTTGCATAATGTGTTTATATTGTTGTTGTTTTAGTTAGCAGAGCTTAAAGAGTCCACGCTGCCACTGCAAGGTCGCAGGAAGCCCTGAAAGCTGTTTGTTAGTTTGGTTCCTCTGATGCGTTTATTTCATCGTTTTTATTTATTTTATTAGAATTCGGGCGACGTCGTGTTTGCAGGTCGACATTCTGCATCAAAGGGCTTCAGAGAAAATTAATTATTTTGTTTTAGTAAGACAACAGCTTGGTCTTGTCATCACAACTGATCAATTTAACTAATTTTCTCAAGATAACAAATTAGTTCACTTGGAATTAAATTAAACATAATCACAACACACCCATGACATCAGCACGACTTCCTGTCACTTCACTGTTAGACGTGTGCAAAGCTGAGAATTACACAATAAAGGCTGTAACTCATAAAAACTTTCAGTTGACATCAAATCATTTCAAATGAATAAAACTAATTTAATGATGGGATTGTAACTGTGTTTTATTTTTAACATATAAATGGTTTTAAACTTTCATCATTTTGATTTTGTAGTTGGGTTTTTTTTTGTACGTTTGCAAATTAAACTGTTAATTTATTTAGTTCTGACAATAAACACAGAAGTTTTAAACTGTCTTGATGTGAAATGATGAAACATTTGTGTCAGAAGAAAACATGAATCCCACTTTAAAAAAAAAGAAAATGCGTTTGTCGTGACGAGGAAAAGTCTCATCAGGATTTCTGACTTTACAGTGAATTTGTTGATGAACACATTAAAAAGCCTTCAAATGTAATCAGCAGTTAATTATCTTGTACATGTTCCTTTAAATCTCAGTGAGCTGGTGGCTCGGGGGGAAGCTGATGATATTTTACAGTAAAATCTGAACTGATTTTTGTTTCTGCGCCTGTTTCATAGAATTAAAACCTGTGAGTCGATTTCTGACTGAGCAGTGCGACTTATTTCTGGGTTCAGTGTGTTTGTTTCACACTTTTATTCAAAATGCCTTCAATTCTTTCAAAATAAAACTTAAATCTTGGCTGATCAGATCGATAAATCTGTCTGTTTTTGTGATTTTTCTCATTAAAACAAGCCCAGGCTGAGCTGATGACGCCTGAGGGTCAGAGTGAGCTCGTGTTCACGTCTGCACCTGTTGGATGAGACCAGAACCTGCACACCTGACTTCAGGAGTTGATGTTTAAACACTAAAATAACCAGAAACACGATGAAAAGTGAGGATTTCTTACCGTACATGAGGACGACAGCTGCAGCTCGTATCCGCCACACACATGTTTGTATTTAATCCTCCACACACACACTGGGCTTGGCTCCGCCCCCTTTCATTCATCCTCATCATCATCATCATCACATGAAAACCTCGTATCTCCGCGCCCACACCAGCCGAGCAGATGTGAGGTTTCTGTCAGCTGATGAGCTCGTTAGCCGGCTTTAGCGGCGTGTTGCGTTACTGTTGCGTTACTGTTGCGTTACTGCTGCGTTGCTGCTGCGTTGCTGCTGCGTTGCTGCTGCGTTGCTGCTGCGTTGCTGCTGTGATCCGGCCACGTGCAGCAGCTCAGCGCCATAATCTGGATTTATGGTTCAGAAAAATACATCAGAGCTGGAAACTCTGATTTTACTGCAGCAACACAACCAGTGTGTGTCTGTGTGGTTCTGCTGGGCCCGGCTCATGGTGCTGTGTGTTGGTCTGGCGGTTGTTCAGTGTGTTTTCCTTATTTTGTGTCTGTTTGTGGTACTTTTGTGTGTTTTAGAGGCTGTTTCGCATCTATCTGTGTTACTTCTGCGTGTCTCTGTG